TATCTATTAATTTGTACTGTAAACAAAACTCTATTGATATAGTGAAAATGGCGGGTTTTGTACAAAGGTTAATTAATCAACGATTAAGCGAAGCAACCCGATCAATTAGTTCAGCCGTCAGTTAAGTTGTCGTAATGAGCGCTTTGATCAACGATACCCAAGCTAAAACAGTAACCATTCTCGACACAACATTTTATTTATATCGAGGGGTTATTAACACGAAAATGGACAAGTGTCTTCTACGAACACAACGTTGATGAGGACGTGTCAAAATATTTATACTCCGTAACATTACACCGAGAGACGAGAGGAAGCGGAGTTTAAATAAATGAGGTTGGGGCTAATGTATTTAATAAAATCAAAAACGCTAAATAAAAAGCAAGAAAAGAGTCAAAAATGTATCTCGACTGAAAACATAATGTTGAACCAATCTGACGTGATTGAACCACCGTGATTGACGCTGCCTGTGCCGTTTAAGTCCCACTCGTGTCGTCAGGTCTTTTTTTTAACTCTAAATAGATTTGTGATTCATATAGTGCCATCATGTGGAATAAACATAATGGCACTATATGAATCACAAACACATAACCATAACCAACACAAATAATTTTTAAATTCGAACTAGTAGTGCCTTAAGAGATTAGCGCGTTCAAACATACAAACAAACTCTTCAGCTTTATATATTAGTAGAGTCTGTATTAACATTCCAGGTACGCGCTATTGAACAGATGCGGCTCGTTGATCGGTGTACTTTTTTCGTTACCAGGGTCTTTTTTTAAGGGGGCAGATGCGTCCTGCGTGAAAAAGGAAAATTACTAGAATGTACATAAACGTGAACTTTAACATGCCGTGTTATTAACTGAAGGAAAACATTTTTTCATTTTTTTCAGGTTGCCACGTGCTTGCACCCACGTACTGCAGTGCACTTTGGCTTAACATAATGCCTAACAAGTAGCAATTACTATCTACAGTAGTATACACGACATTCGTAAGCATTTTTAAGACTGAAGTCGTAGAAATGAAAAATACTATTGTTAAACATGGAATATCGATAGTAGATAATATGGTTTTCCTTGAGTAGATATAACGTAATTGAATGTTACGTTCAACCTTTTTATCGGGGCGCTGTACAGATCCATTTTGTATTGGTTAGACCATTAATCAAGGAAGGCTTTAGGCTATAGGCTAGGCGAAATTGAGAAAATGATTGATCTCATGTCTATCTTTTAAGATTACCTTGCAAGAACGGCGTGGACAACGTTGTGGGTAACAGTCATAATTTACAAAGCTGAGGAGGTTGTTTACGAAAATAAATTCTGATGCCGAAAATAACTACTCCACGCTGACATAGTCGCGGGCACAGATATTGTAAAATAAGTATGTACCTAAAATAGCTAATATATTATACGTATACATAATGCTGTCATTATTTGCAAATCATGTACTCATAGTCCATCCTTAAAACTAATATATAAAGCTGAAGAGTTTGTTTGTATGT